TTCTCGCAGCCTGGTTCTAGACTCAGATGATGGATGAACGCAAACCTCTCTGCTGTGATACTCCTCGTTGCAGTGCAGTGAAAGCTAAAAATTGTGTTTTACTAGCGAAGTTACATTAGCTTCTGTAAATAGTGCTTACTATCATGTAACTTTGGTAGCCACATTAGATATGGAGCGTGTTTCAAAAATGCACATTTTTAAAGATTGCCTGGTTATTTTTATCATTGCTTCTAGTGTAGCTAATATCTCTTTCCAAGCTGGTTGTTTCTAAGACTGATCTTTTTGTATTGCTTGAATTCTGTAGAAAACTTAGATCACCACCGCTCTGAGTCTGACCAACCTGCTCCTCTCTCCTAACTTTTGCATACTGCATTGTTGGGCATTAGAGAGTCTGCTCACAAGCTTTTTCTGAGATGCAGTCAAGTTCTTACGTGTCATATCCTGCACATTGCATATGTTGTGAATTGTCATAGATGTAGTCAAGTGGTTTATGATCATTTGTCTTGTAAAAGTGCCTGTAACGTGTAAGTGCAACTGAGCACAATATTTATTGCTATATGCTCTAAAAGGTTTGTGCTATTTGCACGTAGGCAGTGACCTGTAGCTACAAATGTTAGTCACGTTAATTGAATGTATACATGACGTTATAGTGGAACTCCTAATGTTACTTACGCATTACACACTGCTTCAGTAACAAATTCTCAAGCAACATATTTTGCATTAATCACCCAGCTGCGGGTGCAAAATTCGTTTTTGGAGATCAACCAACTTGAGCTGAGATCTATGGATTAGCAACATTTTTTGTTTATTTCTTATTTGTGTAGGATGTGAAAGTGCCAGCAGGCTGTTAGGGAAAAGACACGTCAAGGCTTTAAAATGCAAGGTTATGGTGATAACATTATTGCTTCGGTAAAGTCCTGGCTTTCAATAATGCGAGTGAATTATATGGCATATTAGCAATCATGCTGAGCCTTTGCACATGTGAGCCATCTGGGCATGTAAACTGTAATTAAATTATAAATATCGGTGAAAAAGGATTGTCAGCTCTCTGTAGCTGGCTGTTAAAACGAAAGCTACGCATACAGTCGACTTCCGTCAATACGAGGTTTACAGGAACCGCAAAAACTTCTAATTAATCAAACTTCCAACTGAGAAAAATGCACAAGAAACTGCACTCTTATTGCTTCAAACCTGACAGTTCTCTAAGAAAGTAGTCTGGGATATTTTGTTGCCAAACCTGGCTGCGGCTAGCAAGTTTCCCAAGCACTACACATGTTGAAGTGCTTCTTCAACATTGTCTTCTTTAAAAAGACAAGAAACGCAATATAAGAGCAAGACCCGCAGCAACACTTGTAGTACTGGGTGGCGGTTCATTTCTGTGTCATCGTCCACTAGCCAAATCATCTGCACAATTTTTCTGTCTATTAGTGGACCGCATGTATCGACATTGTTGTCACGACAACACATTTTCTAATACGGACGGTGTTTAGGATGGCTCAAAACTAGCGTTGTCGAGTTCACCTGTTCGCACTTTATGAAATATGTGAGCAAGTTAGGCTTAATGCCGTACTTTTGTGCGATGTCTTGCTTGGCGGTGCCTCCCTGGTCAACTTCTTTCAAGACTTTTGACTCAAGGTCAAGTGTTCGGTAGGGGCCGCAAGTTGCCATTATAAACGTCGCCACCACAATACTCAAAGCTGTTGAAACACGTGCGGAATCAACCCACAGGGCGTTGGCGGGCTAGTTGGTGTACCATGCTGTGTTTGAACAGCCCAACTGGACGCAGACGGAGCAGGACACATAAACACACACAGAGCGCTGTGTGCGTTTGAGCGTTCTTTTCCACCAGCGTCCAGTCACGCTGTTTTAACTTCAACCAGACTTCAACGAAGCACACGGCTGAAGTACGTGACCACCACTCAACACATCACAACAAAAGACCTGGTTAGCTGATGCAATTAATGCGATACCCTGGCGTTCACTAAACAAGATGGCCGCTTCATGAACTGTGATGCTGCGGGCAGTGGCGATGGCGGCAACAGCGCAGTCCAACAGCTGTCTTGGCACATGAAGAACTCCCCATTTTATTCAAAAATTATGGTCGCTTCGAGGATCTCAACTGAAAATAACTTCTAATTAACCAACATTACGGGCTTTTAACTTCGAATGATCGAGCATTTTTTTCCCATAGGCATGCATGCAAAATTGATGAGATCACTTGTTGACTTTTAATTAACCAAAAACTTCAATTAAGTGACTTCGAATTATCGGAAATCGACTGTACTATGTTGCGTCACAATTACATTTTTGGGACTGCACGCTGCTTAAATTTAGTGTGCAGTAGCAAAACAATTTCTAAAGCAAGTAAAACTTTTCAGCAATGCATGCTTGATTTTTGTAGGAGGTGTAGAAGCAAAAATCCTTCCTATTTTATCGTTTGCTTGAGTGCTGATACACACTCTTGCTGAGCTTACTATAACAAAGAAGAATGAGCTTTTTTGCGAAGCTGAATGTTTATAGTCACTTCAAAATTTTGGTGAGAAAGTGACCGTTTCAAAGTTTGAGCTGCTAATATACATTCTCCAGTATGCTGTGATTACAATAATTTCATTTCTGAATTAGCTAATACTTTCACTTGTGCAAGCTTTTACTAATGGCTATTATATATAAGCTGTTGATGCATTAATGTGCTGGTGCACTTTGCATCATTGCCATATGCCAAATTCCGAACTTAAATATGAGCTAGGTATGTCCACAAATAAATGCGATTCCACTGCGAAGAAACAATGAAGAAAGATTTGCTGGATGGACGTACTAGTGTATTCTTGCAATTCATTCTCACCGGCTTCAACTTCCAGCCATCTGTGTTTTAAGGTCAGTATGATTATGTAGTGCATTGGGTACCCTGAGTGTTGCAGAGTGAGCCAGTGAAAGCAAGCACTTGAATCTCCTTATAATCATTGGTCAGCTGTGTTATTTGTTGATGTTGTGATTGTCATTTGTTACCAGTGAAGTGAAAAGAAAAGTGCCTCACATGGAATACGTGTCTCAGTTCAGCTAGAACAGGCGTGATTTTCGCTATCTCAGGACGCACTTAAGCACTGTTTTTACGCAACGTGAGAAGTGCTCTGTGGTATTGTTATCCACACACATATCCAAAGAAATGAAGGTCATCACCATTATAAGTGAACAAAATGCTGCAACAAAGAGCCTGCCTCATTTGTTTCCACATAAAATTTGCACATACATGATCTCTGGCTTAGTTTCCAGCATACATAATCTTGTGTAACCCTGTATGTGATAGTGAAGTTCTCGGTGACCTGCTGGTATGCATTTTTACACTGCATGCTTCAATGGTAACAAGTTCTCAAGCGAACCCTTTTAGTTCAATAATTGCTTTGCTACTCTTTGCCTGTGTCAGATTCTTTGAAGTTGTCAAATGTTTTGTGATTGGAAGTAAAACTATGAAAAGGTTCCTTGTATATGGCCCTCTTTCTCCTTGTTCTTTACAATATTTGTTTACATCCTAGAGAAACTTGACTCCAGCTTTAACACTACAGACATATTATAGCAATTGAAACTCTTTACTGGTAAGCTGTACGATACCTCTGTGAATACTATGTCTTCATTAAAAAGAATGCAATGCAATGCAACATCTTCATTATGAAGAAGTGTAGTGGTTGATAAAGCATTTTGTCACCCTTCAAAATTGCAGTTGACGAATTCAAAGCAAGGTTACAAGTGATGCTGTTCTGGAGTTATGGAATGAGGTTGATCATGCAGTTCTTTAACTCGTCCCTAAAAACTTATTTGTACGTATTCTTGTATTTTGCTTCTATTTCGATACAAATACTTTGGCTCGGTATTACCAAGCTTGTGCTTTGCAGAAGAGTACTGCAGCTACCAAGATGCTGCAGGGAATGTTTATGTGGTCAAAAGCTGCGTAGACTCTACCAAACAGGTGTTGTAGGCAGAACTGCAACTCCTTTTTGCTTTTAGGGCTGCCCGTAAGTCAGCTGTGATGATCTCAAGCTTTAACTACATATTATACTGGGTATACTGTAGTGTTTGTAAGGTGTTTGTGTATGCAGTTTTGAAGTTGAAGTCTTGGGTCCCTCTTTCTCCTAAAACTGCTACCAGCAAAAGGGGAGGAAACGTATTGCAAAAAAAGGAGAAGTCATAATAAGTTTTCATAAAACGTGTTCATAATTCGCACCTCGCCTACTTATACACGAAAATTCTACTTATTCTTCAAACATTCTATTTGCACATCTGCTGTGGGCACCATGTGGTTCATTACGGGAATGCTCTGTCATCCTTGTTTTATGATCTAAATAGCTGATTGCAATGCCCATGCTTATCGTACGAAGAGAACCAACAACTATTGTGCAGAATAGTATCCCATACAACGTAACATGTACCGCATGTCGGTCGACAGTTAAAGTCAGCGTGACGGCTCTGGAGAATACAGAAGAAGGATGGAGTAAAGGGCCACCTTTCGACTGAAACTTACTCAGCTAGCGTGAACATAGAAAAACAAGGCTGAGCATACATATCCATCGGTTTCAACTCGCCCATCTTTCAACCTTGCTGCAACTTGCAGTCTATGCATGGATATAGTACACAAGAAAACTTTCTCATAATTTATTGTAACCTAAAAGCTGCTATATGGATATTACATGATAACTGAGGATATGGGAGAACATACACACAATTAGAACAACATACATGTGGTTGCAGTTACAGTTCAGCTGGAAACAAGGCACCTTCAGCAGTAACCTTGCTTCGTTCTGTTTTGTTTTTCTGAAAAACTAAACTGTACCTCATAAGTGACACCAGGTGGTACGGCAACCAACATTCACTGCTGTTGGTCTTCTCTTGCACAATGAGGTGCGTAACGTAAGGCCAGCGGACCTTCATTGTCTACATTGCACACTTTGTAAATGTTTGTGTTAACGCACACAGCATACTGTGCATTTCGCTCTGCACATTGTGGTACTTCACAGGACCAGCCAGTCCCTCGAATTGGTGTCTCCGTGTGTCGCTGCGCTTCCCGGCGGCAGTGCTCCATGTTGCCAGTGAGTTGAGGCCGTGGTCGCGGCCATTTTGGCCCTCAGCAGCGCCTGCAAGTGCGTCCACTGCTCGGTCTGTGCTCGCAGTGAGGCCTGCTTCTCGCGCAGCTCCTTCTGGCGCTCCCGCAGGGCCTTGCCCCGCTTCTCCTGCTCGGCGATCTCGTGGCCCAGCTTGGCTCTGCGCGAGTGTGGCATTTGTGCGCACTGTTCAAGTTGGTGCGGTTTTAGAAAAAAGACGTGAATATACACAGTGAAATCTCGTTAAATCGATCTTCGCAGGAACCGAAAACTGAAAGTGTCGTTGAAATCTTATTGTATTACGAAGCACGGTATCGTCGCAAGAGCGAAGCTACGAACGCGATACGAAGTTGTGCTAGAAGCTCACTCCTTTAGCATGCGACAAGGCGTAACTCTTAAGGAAACGTGGCCGCTACAGCGAGCGAAGTGACGTTTGCTCTGTCTATAGCCTCAGCGCAAACTTTGAGATGAAAAAATACGTACAAAGATATGAGCCGTATGCTGATCTCGATAAAGATACGTTGCGCACGACAGCAGACGACCACGCATGGCTGGTCAAATTACGCTGTTCCAGCCGAAATTGCACAGCCCCCCCCCCCCCTCCCTTTCGCAACTCTTCATGCGCCGTATCGCACGACTGAAACGGCTGGCGTTTCCTTTCCGCTTGAGCCGCCATTGTTGGCATCCCTTCGCACTTTCACTTGCACGTAACACATATGACGCGCAGGGTGATATTTTCAGATTTGTACTTTTATTTGGAACCTTACGCGGTGACGCCGACGGCAAGAATGCGCCTGGTGGGTCAATATCATTGTGTGAAATATAAAGAAAACCCTACATTGCGTGTGCATAGGGAGCCAGAGAAAGCAGTTTTCTCGTCAAAGTTGTTGCCCTTCCCGCGGGAGTACTGCTTTACCTGCATCAGCGCGTATAGAATTTATTTTGTCTCCCCCACTGTCTTAAAATACCCTCTCCTCAGGGGCGTGGCTGACTGGAAAGAGTAATTTCACAAGGTTGAGGTTCGATTGCTTCGCGCGTGCGATGGGCGCTATTTTGTTCGTGTTGCGTAGCCGCTAGCGTGACGTGGGTTGTTCGGCGTGTGGATCACATAAAAAAATTCTAACAGGTGGATCCAGAGCCAATTCGGAACACACAGCTGTCTCGACAGGGATGGCCCATAACTCGGAATGATGGTCGAGAAGTTGAGGCAGTCCCTCGAAAATTCGGGAAGGGCGCAACCCCCATTCCGATAGTATAGCCACTTGTAAAGCGTGCACTGCCTCAAGCAGACTTGTATTGCAGTGAAGCAACGATACGCACATGTTACGGCGGGTTGTTTTTACAGTGCCTATTTTACTTTCTTTTTTCGTACTTTCCAGCACCAGAAAAACTGATGGGAGCCTAGCCCAATATGCTTCACGGCAACCGTGTAATCGAACCCTGTACCTATCGCACTGAAGGAGCGAGGATGTGCTATTACTTGACTATACGGTGCAGTGAGCCCCTTTCCCCGTTTAGAGCAGTGGCAGTGAGGAGGATAGGAGTGTGTTCAATTATTAGTGCATGCCGTCAGGACCGGGAGGTGGGGGAGGGGTACCCTGGCCTGTGTGTCGGTGTGGGAAGTCGTATCCCGAGAAGTTGGCCTCTCCTTTATAGCACTGTTATTTCACTCACAGCGATGCTGCGCAATGCTTCTTCGTGGGTTGCAGAAACAAGCGTCCTGAAACCACCACTACAACTACGATGGGAATCGTGGTACCTCGTCCTCAAACCGCTATCAGAAGTATGGCCTTCGCTTTCAAAAACTGTGTTCAACTGCGCCTCTAAAGGCACCATACAAGACGCGCATGATGAACACACTCTACTTATAGCCACGCAAACGCTACTTGAGACGCACTGCGCGTCGTGGCTCTTTTCGATGAGAAACTACGCTCTGAAAACAGCAAACTTTATCTAGTTATATATCTTTTTTCTGTGTGACCACCGCTGCTCATAATGTATCTATTTAATAATATAGCTTTATTTAGCGAGAGTTGACCAATTAAATGTTATCTTATTTTCGGCCGGGAACTTAATTACGAGACGGCGTCTATATAAGGTAATATTGTGCGCGTAGTTTGATGATTACGTTCTAGTCGCTGTTCATAGGATGGAAAACGCAAATGCAGGCGTATGGAAAAGCCTGCAGGTCTGGTTCTATTGTCGATTTCTTTCTTCCTCACCGGCGTCCGTTTTAGGCGCCTTGGCGAATATGCGTTCACCTTGAATATGTGTTCACCCTACCTGAGCGAAGTCTGGCCGTCAGAGCCAACGTCGGCTGCTGCGGGGTTTCCAAGCACACCATTAGCCTTGAGGAAGTTTAGCTGCACTTCGTGTATCCGAAGGCTGTGCTGGAGGAAGTTCAGCTTGGACTCCTCGCTGTTCAGTTCACTTCGGAGGCTGGACACTTCCTGGCGCGCAAGAAAGAAATATTTTCGTCAATAAAATTACGTGTGCATAGTCTCGCAGGACGTACAACGGCGAATGCCTTGTCAACTCTAACAATGGGCTTCACCCTCCGCGTTAGTCTGTTGGTTATTGGTGCTTCACTGCTGACCCGAAGGTTGCGGGGTCGAATCTCTGTCATGGCGGCCGCATTTCGATGGAGGCGCTAATGCTGGAGGCCCGCGGGCTTAGAAATAGGTGCACGTTAAAGAACACCAGGTAGTCGAAATTGCAGGAGCCTTCCACTATGGCGTCTCCCATAATCATATCGTGATATTGGGACGTAGGCTCCAGCAATTATTATGCCCTTCTGCCATCCTCAGCAAATTGCCACGAAAGAGTGAATATGAGAAGGCTGCGTGGCTAGCAATCTTGGGGTCTACGAAATGCGTTCTCTAAATGACACATCAACATTATTAGATTTCATAGCCAATGAAGTCGACAGCCAATATGCTGCCTATGTAATTGATTAGTGATACACTGCGCTTCAGTCGCACACTTGTAGTTGAGTGTGCGCCCTTATAGTCTACCCGCGGCGGTTGACTGAATAAGCTGTACAAGTAATATATGCGGGATATCCCAATAGCTAAGTTGGCTCCGACTGCAGGAAATGCATTTCTGATTACTTGTTAGAGAACTCGACTGCTGCCATATGGCTACGCTGCGTAGGTGACTCCTGTAGGCGACCTCTATAAATGCTGCGTTATGTTATCTTACAAATAAACGCACAACATTTTCAACTGTTGATATAAGCGTAGACTTGTTGCGCAGAATCAAATAGGCATTATGAAGCCATGCTTAAAAATCTGAGGAGAAGCATCGGAAAGGTTTATTCGACGTTTCGACCCGAGTCCGGTATTGATCAGAATGAAAACCAAGCTTCGGTCGAAACGTCCAATAAACCTTTTCTTGTTCTGCTACCGAGAGTCTTTTGCTTATTTACATATCTAAATGGGGGTACATGCACGTGTTCCCAGTACAGCGAACTATATCAGTAGTATTCGGGACTTATTGTCGCTTTCATCATAATGGTATCTCTCGGCTACGAAAGCCTATTGAACTCTAGAAAACGCTCCATGTGCTGGCAACACTGGTTGAAAAAAACAAAGATGGCTACGCTTAACAACCTCAACGCCTCCTAGAAAAACTATGCTTGGAACGTCGCTCTGTTTTCAATCGGGAGCTTCCTGCCAGTACGCAATCGGGGAGGCCACGCATCCTGCCGCGTGTTGCGACCATCCACTCCGTGTGAACACTTGCCTCCGTACCGCTCAGTCTCGTGACATCAGCGCTGCTCGGAGGCAACTGTGAGAGCATTGTTGTGTTCGCAGGGAGTGGACGCCAGGGGCGTTAGCCTTCGTACCGGTGGGGGAGGATAAAATCCGAGGGTAGGGCAGCACGTTCGCGCCTCACGTTCATGTCATCTCTGTGTCAACGCGGTATTTTCCTTGGCGCTTGCTGAAGTTTCTTGAATGTGGCGTCGGATCGCGTTGATTCGTCAAAGGCGAAAGGATAGCGGACCGCCTCAATCTCGTCGCCATAAAGAATTTTACTTGCCGAACAGCGGAAGTTGTGCTGCTCTGCGCGCAAACATCGGGTCTCTTCGGCGAACCGCATCAGATTTACTTCAAGTAGAAGAACCTGTCTAGCGAGCCCGAGGTTGAAGAAGGCAAGTGTTCATGTGTAGCGGGCCTCTCCGGAAGGTGCTAGCACTTTTTCGCTGCGTTGCTACACTGCTGCAGGCAAGGCCGATTTTTGAGGTAACTACGTTGAGACTCTTGCTGCCGAATTCATGTATACAATTGAGTTTACGTTTTCCAGTCAAAATATAAATACGCAGGCCGTTCACCTAATTACAGACCAGAACTATGCCTGGGCCAGTGTACCTTGAGATAAGGCAAATTGTAGCTTCGATTCTAATAGGAGTGTTCCTTCCTTTTTGTTCGCGAAACAAGTTACAAAGTTTCTACGAATAAGGTCGTGTGCTTCCGCAAACTCGCTTGTTTGTGTTGACAGTAGTTGATAGCCGAAGCATATTGTCACGAAGTCAAAACAGAGGTCTTGCCGCAGAGATTGAGACACGAGAAGCAGGTCAGTTTTTTGATAGAACGCGCAAGCGAGCTCTTTTTTTTTCGTCCATATCATAATCTTTCATGGCACATGCACAACTGCCATTGTCTTTCTTGGGCAAGCACGTGACATTTGCCTCCCTCCGAAAGAGGCATCGTCCCGATGCGCAACTTGGGTGCTCTACCAGGCGTATGAAGTGTTCGTATCAAAACGGTAACCGGGAGCTAATTAACTCGATAAACACGGTTTCATACGCACAACGTGCACAACTTCAGGTAAATGCTTTTGGTGCTTAGCTACAATCAGTGTCGGGAACAACTTCGTAGTTCACGTCGTTTAAGCGTCGCGTGACGCTGTGTGGGCCAAAGTACCGTCTTAGAATTTTTTCAGACAGTCCACGTCGACGTATCGGAATCTATACCCAGACCTTGTCGTCTGGTGTGTAACTAATAAACTTGTGTCGGGGGTCATACCGTTGTGCACCTTGATGCTGCTGATGACAGATGCGCACGCGCGCGAGTTGTCTGGCTTCCTCAGTGCGCTGAGTGAATTCTTCGGCGTCTACATGGACGTCGTCACACTCATGCGGCATCATGGCGTCCAACGTTGTCGTGACTTCGCGACCATAGATCAAACTGAACGGCGTCATTCCAGTGGTTTCTTGTCGAGCGGTATTGTAGGCAAAGGTCACGTACGGCAATATCCGATCCCAGTTTTTATGTTCTGTGTGAACGTACATGCTGATCATGCCTGTGAGGGTCTTATTGAGGCGCTCCGTCAGTCCGTCAGTCCGGTTGTCTGCGGATGGTATGCAGTTGTTCTCCGGTGAGCTGTACCGCTGAGTCTGAGAAGCGGCTTCAAAAGCTCTGCGTGAAGGCAGGTCTTCTGTCTGTGATCACTGCTGTCGGAGGACGATGCTTCGAAGGACGGTGCTTTCTATGAAGAGCTGAGTGGCTTCTGCTGCTGTGCCGCGCTGCATAGCTTTAGTCTCCGCATAACTGGAGAGGTAATTGGTGGCCACAATAATCCATCTGTTCCCTGTTGTGGAAGTTGGAAAGGGACACAGAAAATACATTCCAATCTGGGTGAATGGCATTTCTGCTGCTTCGACTGGATGTAAAAGACCGGCTTGCTTGCTGGGAGGCGCTTTGCGTCTTTGGTAGTCGGTGCAAGTTCGCACGTGGTAGTTAACAGCAGCAGGTAACTTTGGCCAGTGGTACTTGCATCGTAGTCGGCACAATGTTCGAGTGTAGCCTAGATGACCAGAAGTTGCTTTATCATGGCACGCTTACACAATTTATTTTCGAAGAGAGGCAGGCACGACGAGCAAGTGTGGGTTACCGGTTGGCGAGAAGTTTTTCTTATAGATAACATCGTTTCGCAGGCAAAAAGATGGCAGTCCTCTAGCAAATAACCGCGGCACGTCTTTACGTCGTCCTTCTAAATATTCGATGAGTAGTAACAGCTCAGGGTCACTGTGCTGTTCTCGTGCAATAGTGACTGTGTTGACAACCCCCAAGAATGCCACGTCGATGTTTTCGTCATCAGAAGCGACAGTTTCCACTGGCGACCATGAGAGACAGTCGGCGTTGGTGTGCCTCTTCCCAGATTCATAGGTGATGGTCATGTCGAACTATTGAAGCCTTAGGCTCCAGCGAGCCAAATGGCCAGATTGATCTTTAAGGTTGGTGAGCCAGCACAAAGAGTGATGATCGCTAATAACCTTGAAGGAGCGGCTGTACAAATATGGACGAAATTTGATGACCGCCCACACCATGGCGAGACACTCCTTCTCGGTAGTCGAGTATATAGTTCTCCTCCGTGCGAGAGAGAGTTCTGCCGGCGTGGGCTATTACTCTTTCACAGCCGTCTTGCCACTGCACCAGAACGGCACCCAGACCTACATTGCTAGCGTCAGTGTGAAGTACTGCAGGGGCGTCCTGGTCGAAGTGCGCAGAGACTGGATGTGTTTGCAGGCGTTGTCGTAGTTGATTTGAATGTCATTTGTTCCTGTTCCTGTATATATGCACGCACATTACGCACGCTACGAATGCACGGACATGATGTTGTCACGCGGTCATGACGTCGATGAAGGGAGCAGACTGTAGGTCGAAGGTGAAATTGTTTGTTTGGCTGAACTTGTAACCGGTGAACGGAAAGTCAGATTACAGCGATATACATTGGCACTGAAGCGGCGAACAGCGCTGGCCGTTTGTCAGCTCACAAGTGGTAAAGCGCGTCGGCATTTATGTATGCGCCGTCGAATATTCCAGCGTTATCACTAGCAGTCATATGCTTTCCGAAATAACCTGCTGATTGATATGTGGGGTTTAATGTCCCAAGACCAACATGTGATTATGAGAGACGCCGTAGTGGAGGGCTCCGGAAATATCGACCACCTGGTGCTCTTCAACGTGCACGCACTCAAATCTGAGCACACGGGCCTACAGCATTTTCGCCTCCATCGAAAACGCAGCCGCCGCAGCTGGGATTTTTCTGAATAATCTGCAATGTCCGCGTAGTCCGTGTAATCCTAAAAAAATACTGCAGTCCTCAAAGCTTCTACGACACGGCAGGCGCGGATTTGCGCTGAGAATTACTAGCAGTGTAACGGGCGATAACAAAACTTGAAGGAATGTGACAATATATACACGCACGAATATACATACACGCACGCTACGCATGCCCATTTATGGGCGTGTATATACACACATTCGAAATAAAAGAAGTGTTTGGGGTGGGAGGGTGGGGGAGAAGTACAGCAGCTTAATGTGAGAGAAAGTAGTAGTGCACCTTGCGCAGAAAACGAGAATATACGAAAAATAGTCGCACACGTAACGCAACAAATTCTCTAAAGTGCTTGCTTATATAAACGAAGATATATTCCGTGCTTAGAGAAGCCCGAATACTGATGTGATAAGAATGCGCACACGCTAAATAATCGTGTACTAATCGATAAGAATTAAGTCGTCGTGAGCGAATTGATTAGAACAAACTACCGCAGTGTCCGTTGCCTTCTTTTCATTGCGCTTCTTATTTGCGTCGTTCTCCGTCGCGCGTCGTCTACATCCTTCGGGAAATGATGGAGCGATACGTTGCCATCTTTCCACCGCGATGTCACGCATTGCGGCACACTTCCATGGTATTTAGATATCGCTTTCTTTTTTTTTGGGGGGGGGGGCTTGGGTATGCGGCGTGATGAAAATAAAGGAACTAAATGCGGCCGCGTGTCAACGCGTGCAACGTGGTAACATATGCCCTTTCTAAGTTGACTCTGTTCATAGCCTCTGAGATCCCCCATCTTGAAGGCCATGCCCTGTTAATGCCATTTCCAGGCGCGGCCACCAGGTGGTGAGTGCTTAGTTGGAGTCCCGAATATTATCTAATCCCGTGGCGGCACCGATTAAAGAGCCACATCCCTCCACTATTTTTGCGTCTCTGTGCGCTTTCAGACGTCCTGTCAGGCAAATATCCGTTGTTAGCTCATCAGGTCTTTGTCAACGAGAGCGCGCACAGCGAGACACCCTTTCAGCGTCACTCATGATTGAGCGAAAACTCCGTGGATTTTGTTTCGTAGTAATTATAGAAAAATTAACGTACCTGCTCTAAACTTGTCAACGTGCTTTCCAAGCCTGCTGCGCATGTGTCGTAGGCTGCTTTCTTTTCCTCGTACTCCATTGTCACGTCCTGCGCAAAATATGTGAACCGAGGACGTGTAGCGTTGAACTGAAGTATACGCAGATGGTGCTGCGATGTGTCATCATAGTTAACTATGCTTTCACTTCAAAGCGTTTTCATTTCCCTTTGTTTCGATATGACCTCCTCACAAGGGTATGTCACGGGTACCACGTTCACAGCTGGACAGTGTAGGCAAGTGCTGATACATCTGTAAAAGTATAACTACGTCAAGGCTTCTATGATCCCGAAGTCCAGAATGGACATATCATTTGTTTCGTGTGAGGTGCATCATGTGTATTTTCGATGCTGAAATCCCGAATGCGTGCAATTAATCTGTGTAAAGTGCGTCCTACTGTCTAATGCTTCACGGTTAGTACTGTTCCAACTTCGCACACTTTACAAGTAGTGTAAAAGCACACTGACACGCTGCCAGTATAAAAGTTTTCAACCGAGAGGAGGAGCGCCTCCTTTTTGGGCTATAAACACGAAGGATGACGCTCGCTGACGTCGCGGCCTCCACAGTCCATTTCTGGGAGGTCACATATTTGCCACCGCTGGCAGGCGAATTATGTCCACGCAGAAAGCCTTCGTTGTAAATGTGTGTGGGCAGCGCCTCCAGAGGACGCGCTGGTTTGGGCTAAAGGAAATCTACCTGGTAGGTTTTTCTAAGCGGCCTGAGGTCCTTTATGGCCGGCGCCAGGCGCCCCTTCCTTTCGGCAATTCGCTTGTTGAGGCTGGTCACCATGGTGGACATGTCTTCCAGCGTCGCCATCTTTGTCTCGTCGAGCGCGGCCTTGTTGCCGGACAAGCTTTCCAGGGTTCCCTGTAACCGGTGGTAGCCGCGAACGCCGTGCTTTTCTTCGAGCGCCTCCTGCGAAAACACGCCCGCTGAGGTTAGCGGGGCAACTCCATGGGATTATAAAGAAGTTGCTGACATGTACACTATCTGTTCAATACGCAGCTGACGAATCCACCCAATGAACGACGAATGAGAAGCAGGTGCGAGCTAAACATTTCGTATGCAATGTAATGCGCAAGTTTCTTTGGGGGTCATTTCACGGAAGTGTTGTTTCATGCGACACAGAACTGTCTTCGAGTAGCATAGAGTAGCAGTTTCACCCGACGTCAACGCTTGCTAAAGCTAAATAATAGTAGTGTTGAGATTTTTCTCTTTGCATCTTTTCGTAGTCGTATCTTGTCAGCGTGTGTGGTGCAGTATACGGGTAAAGCAGATAATATGTAAAAGAAAGGTGCCAGATAAGTTTATAATAGCAGTGACGTTTCATATATACACATACACACTTTGTTTCCTTGTGTTCGTGGCAGTTGCCGGCTTGCTCTCAATTTCCCCCTTTTCTCTGTGTCCTTGTGTATTCGCGTATAAAAATCAAATAAATAAGCATAAATAATCAAAAACTGCAGTTCCGTGTACGAATACACCAATGAGCGAAACTCCTTAAAAATATTGGTCACATATCTGCATGTTTCACTGCGAATGTCGCCGAAAGATGGTGGTAGTCTTGCGTCCGGAGACAGTGAACAAAATGTTTATTTGATGCTCTGCGTGAGAAAATGGGTGAATTGTATTCTGAAGGCACTGCGTTAGAGTGCTTCGATCCGTGCAGCGAAGGCGAACGAGCGCATCGAGGCCCCTTAGACACGAGCGCTATCTGGCAGTTATCTTCGAAAACAAAGAAAGGCGAACGTGCCAGCCCGTCTCGGAGGCGATAAGGTGTACAACGCAAAGTGACGGGCAGGTGCCACCACCATGTCGTCTTAGCAAAGCGTTGGAAACACGTGCCTTTTTGAGCATAGCGTTGCATTGTCGGCGCAGCGAGATAAACGCTACGGTTCTTAGAATTACTCATGCATGCCTTCTCTGGTATAAAGACACACATACAAAATACTGACGTGTTGTCATAGTGCCTTAGATATGCGCAATAATTGCTTTTGATTTGACAATCACACACGTATGAGCGCTGAAACTTGAGCAATATTGGTGGTCGCTGCGGATGGGGCTGGCCGTTTGGAATGTTGTTGGGGGCTGTTAGGGGCATTGTTACGACGGACAAGCAGACAATTGTACAGACAGACAGACCAAAATTTTTGCGTTGAAGTACCCCAAGAAACTTCTATCGTCTTTAATGGGATGCAGACGAGAATGCGCCTGATCTCGCTGCTGGCTTTCATGAAAGTGGTAGAGTGGGGAGCGGATGGGGAGAGCGTCTGCTGCGCTCGATGGCGGGAACGACTGAGCGAGTGAGTGTGCGGCGCGCGTGGCGCAGCAAAACAACAGGAGCGCGCTCCTGTTGTTTTGCTCGGCGCACTTGCCCGTCGCACACAGCTTTGATGGCGACAACGAAGTGCGGGCCTAAGGAGCTTCGCTTCCAATAAATATCCTCACCGTAGCTTTATTGTAGGGCTAAACGACAATGGTGTAAAACTGCATGCACGCACATACATACATACTCACACGTGTTCACACGGGAAAGTGGAATTTTGACACGAAGGCGCATTCTTTGTCTAGTGTCTAGAAATGTTGGCACGAACTCGATCGATCAAATAGCTAAACATTCTGTCGCATTTCTCCCGCTGCGAAGGAATTAGGCGAAGAACAGCCATTGTCACCCTCAGGATCAAAACCAAATTACGCACAAAACTGCGGTGGTTATTAGAAGCTGGAAAAAAATTGCTCTGAACGGAGACTCAAGTACCTGCGAGTCTTGCCGGTTCAATGGCATGAAATAAGAAATCTTAGTTTTGTTTAACAGATCAAAACTGTCAAAACATGTGCTTAATTGCGCTCGTTGTGAGAAGTTCTACAAGGCCGTGTGATTGGGAGAACCAAGAAATTTCGAACCTTTTTAGTTCGGTGGCATGGAACAAAGCTCAAGGTTTGGTGTCCCGTCAGGAAGAATTTCGCCACCCAAGAAACTGTCATCACAGTTCATTATACAACACAATCGTCTATACGGCTTGACGATGTGCTTTCTCTCTCTCTGTCTATATATATATATATATATATATATATATATATATATATATATATATATATATATATATATATATATATATATATATATATATATATATATATATATATATATGACTGTCACTCCTACTTCTAAATTCACATATAAACCCAAAAAAAAGCGGATGTATAAAGGCCGCGTTGGTAGCTCAGTGGTTAGAGCATCGAACGCGTTATTCGAAGGTCGTAGGTTCGATTCCTCCTCACAGCTGCTTATTTTTTCATACACTTTTCTTTCTTCTTTCTTCTTGTTTACATTCCATTGGTTCTAATAACTTCCCCTGTACATTCCTTGGCATTACTGTCTGTTAGATCTCAATAATATTGTGTTAAACCACGGAAAAACGAGCCCTTAGGTATACACTTCTTTCCCTTATTTCATTGAACGAGGGTCTCGTACTGGCAGACTTGGTGTCATTAGGTTGTATACGAGGGACTATTAATCAGCTGCCCGCTCATAATAAAAGTTCACGTGCTACGTGACGCCAAACATGCGCATAAAAGGGTGTTTTCACACTCGTCGCTTGGCTTATAAATGGCGCTGATTGTCACTCCTACTTCTAATTTCACATATGAACCCAAAAAAGTGGGTGGATGAAGGCCGCTGTGGTAGCTCAGTGGTTAGAGCATCGAACGCGTTATTCGGAGGTCGTAGGTTCGATTCCTGCTCACGGCTGGTTATTTTTTCATCCACTTTTCTTTCTTCTTATTTACACTCCATTGGTTCTAATAACTTCCCCTGTGCAGTCCTTGGCATTACTGTCTGTTAGATGTCATTAATATTGTGTTAAACCACGGAAAAACGAGCCCTTAGGTATACACTTCTTTCCCTTATATATATATATATATGACGCATTTTCAGATGATTGAATGATATCAAAGCTGGCAAGGGAATATTTTTGCCCACTAAAACAATACAACAGCAAAAAAAAAAAAATCTGGCGTGTTTTCAGTCGGTATCGGAACTCGAACTTGGGCGCGAACTGATGCGAGACGAGTGATATGTCTTTACGGCAGTGCTTCCAGGGCCAATCTGGAATGAAGCCTTGGTACTGGGAGTAAGTTTCCTTAACTTAGCCGGCCACGTCATAAACCTTGCATGCTGTCAAATGAGATGCACTCAAGTGACGTCATGGCGTCGCGCAAGTTTCGCGCACTCACCAGACTCTGCCTGAGGTCGCGCTCCTTGTGCGTGAGTATCTCCTGCGTCCTGGCCAGCACACCGGTCTCGGCCCTCAGCTCGGCCAGCTCCTGGCGTTGTTGCTTGTACTGGCTGCTCTTGCCGCGCAGAGCGTTCACATACTTCTTAAACTGCAGCGTGGTGAGCAGATGTGCATGTTCATGCATGGGCACCGAGAGCTTCGCTGCTTGCGTCAGCGCATACCTCGTCTCCTTTGAGAACCTGCTCGCCACCGGCGACCAGAGACTGTTTCTCTTGCAGCTGAGCCTCGAGCTGGGAGACTTGCAGGCGCAGCTCGTTGAGCGTCTCGGCGGCCGCTTCCTTCTTGCGTGCGATTACTGCCGCCTGCGGAGTGAACGAGGACATGCATCAACCACCCAGGCACAAGGCCGTTATGTTCACGTTGTCAACCGCTTCTTCAGTTGGCTGAATCATACAGCCTCACTTTGGCAGAAGGCCATCTAGGATTTCAGTGTAACACTAAGCTCATGGGGCAGGGGAAGATCACGACCCTCACTTACACCTGTGTGTGTATTTAGGCGAAAGCCTTAGGCGCCTGATCGAACTGGAAATTTAATTGTCAGGCGGCGACCGTCCCACGGCGTCGGGGAAGAGTGATGCAAAATATTATCATGTGATAACGACACCATATGACGTCATGATCACGGCACAGATAGGGGAATTTGTGGCGTCATCATGAGGTCACAAATTCTGGCATGACGTAACGCCACACGATGCCGTTGTAGCGCCCTCTTTTGGGGGGCGAACAAAACCGGAGAGCGCGCGATCTCAAGAGAAGAAAATGAAGACGGTGTTTGGCATTGTGGCACGTCAAGGCAACGCTTGCGTTCCGTGCTCCCTTATACTACAGTGTTTAGAAATATACTGGTACTTATACGTCTACTGAGAAGGAAAGAGGAGATTGCTTTCACGCTTGAGTTGTATTTGGTGAATGCGCAAGGGAATGAATGGTCTGCGTCTGTGGACTAGCTGATCTGCACTGTTCACAGAAAGTTATTACTTCCTTATTTTCGAAAAGTGCTTCGAATATGCTTTAATTTTCTGCACTTGCAACGAGCGATTCTTTCTCGATTTTCGTGATACATGAATACTGCCACCGCCATTCCGTAATAATGCAACTGTGCTTGAAGCAAAATGGCGGAATTCACGCCAAATAACGTATCTATGTACACACATACCTGTTGCCTAAACAGCGTCAGCTTGTCATCAGCTTGTTCTTGACTTCGCATCTTCTGCTCATAAAGAGCGTTGATCTCTTGGTTTTCGGTCTGTACCTGTGTCAAAAGAATGGCAAACGATTATACAACTGATATTCAGTGCGGGTTAACATACTCGTTGCATGATATATAGGGCACTCTTGCTTCGGACTAGATTAAAGGATGCAATAATCGCGGCTGTTGTCAAATCTCATGTTACACGATATTGCCAACACATCAATGTCCACAGAAATAAATTCATCATCCCCTCAATGTTCTTGCGCTGTCAGAGCCAATTAATTTATATCCAACGACCTTTACGTGCAAAAGGTTATAACGATTCGGTTTGGACACATTTCAAATGACTGAAAATGCAAACATGCCGGCCAGAAGCCATCGTCTAAAAATGTTGCTTGCCCCGCCACCGGCTATTATACTCGGCTACTGACCCGCAGGTCGCGGATTGAATCCCGGCTGCGGCGGCGCATTTTCGATGGAGGCGAAAATGCTGCAGGCCCGTGTGCTCAGATTTTGTTGCACGTTAAAGAACCCCAGGTGGTCGAAATTCCTGGAACCCTGCACTACGGCGTCTTATAATCATACGGGGGTTTTGGGACGTTAAAACCCACGAATCAGTCAAATGAAAATATTGCTTGCATATGGAGATTGTCCTATACCTGCCATCGATGCGTGGTCACATACCTTTGCCTTTAGTCTGTTGATTTCGTTTTGTCCCATCGCTGGTTCAGCGGACACCTTCTGCAGGTCCTTAATGTCGTTCTGGCAAACAGTGATTTCCTTGGGCAGCTTGTCTCGCACCAGGTAGCCATTGGCTCGGACCTCTTCCTCCAGCTTTTTCATCAGGCCTTCAAACATATTGAAACATGCCTCGAAAACTTACGAGGTTTTCGGTCTTGCACCGAATTTCGTTAGTGTTCTCAAAATACCAAGCCCCAAAATATCCGCGCTTATTGTTTTACTATTTTTACCCTCACTGCTTCCGAAGTACTGCCATAATATTAATTTTATTATGCGTCATGTTTTTACGCATGCTGGCAACTTTTATTTCTCCACTTACACAATTTTACCACGATAGAGGCGCGTTATAGTTGTTCTGTGTAAGATAGATTCTCGTGAATTCAACATCAACCTTTAAAATGCAAGTACAATCATTGTAAATAATAATCACGATTTTACAAGTTTAAAGGTATTTCAAATCAAAATTAAGTTACAAAAAAGTTGTAGGAATGACACATTGCTGAAAGTTTAGGGCAAATTCACCTTATAATCGGCCAATCTCCTTCTTTGGGTACGAGCCATTTGCACAGGGAAACAACAACAACAACAACAAAGGTGGAGAAGCATACCTTCTGGTGTTGCACCGGTTCCCGAATGTTGCAGGTCTCTTAGCTGCTGCGTTAGCTTGTGGATCTTTTGCTCGCAGTGGTTCAACTGCAGTTTAATAGAAAGATGCATCGATGTGAGTGCCAAATGTGCGCGCATTAATTAGACAATGATTTTCTCGACCTATCCCCCCCCCCCCGCCCCTACTCCTTATAAAAAGTGCACCAACGTGGGAGAGACCATTTCAGCTATCAATAGTTTGTATATCGTGCAGCTAGATGGCAAGGCCCAATTATGAATGATGCACTCTGGTCTGAGCTCATGCATGTGCCTAAATACTCTTGCACTTGCTTGCTTTGAATGCTTGGTGGATATGCTTATTGGTTTGCAACAAATATAGGAATTCGGAGTTGTTCATGGCCAGCTGCGTCCAGTGTAGATAACCTGCGATCAAGATTATAGAAGTAGGGACAATACATGGACGCCCTGTCTTAGTTTTTCATCATCAACACGCTATACGTACGTTTGCTACTTGAACTTCACTCACAAAATACTTAGTTGGGGTGGAGCAGTTTGGTAGTGACCTCAAAAATACATGTAAAATTAAAATACCTTTGCCGATAACATATTCAACAACCTCTCATGCAATCTATTTGTCTTTTCATAAATTCGTCACCTCAAAACCGAGACTCTACATTAATATGAATTTACGCTATTTGTCTCTTCGTAAATTTGTCACATCAAAACCGAGACTCTACAATGATAGGAATCTACGCTTCGGCAGTTGAGCAATATTTAGTCGTACAAATCGCAACCGTTCTTTCTTGCACAGTACAAAGGGCCAAAATGAGCAATATATTTAGTAAACTGCGAAGGCATATGCGTTGCCACTATTAGCGACGGGGTTCGAATTCGGAAACGAAGTGCACCCTTATTATCGCTACGAACAGGCCGTGCATATATTTCTTCGTCAGTAGAGATGCAGAGAGTGCTTTTGAAGAATACCCGCTGCGGTGGCTCAGCGGCCATCACGAGGGGGCAGGTTAGCTTCAGGCCTAGGGGCCGTATTTATAGATAGAGGCCAATAGATTCGTTACAATATGGCTTCTGGACAAGGTAGCATAAGCAGTTACTCCAGAGGCTAAATGCGAGAACGACCGTGTGCCTAAAGATTCGGGTGCACCCAGGGAGACCAAATTAATTAAGTCTCGTATTTTGGCATTACGGCGTCCTTCGTAATCATATCGTGGTGTTGTCGTGGTAGTGTCGTAGTGGTACTTCGTAAATCAAGCACAGTGTTCGTACCGACCCCAAGTACTCTCACTTACATACTACTTACTTCCAGTAAAGCCGCGTGCTATCGCATTCAGCCTAATTACGGTGCCTTCAATCCAACCGCCACGTCTGTAGATTCTACAAGTCTTACTGAAGCTCTGCAGCTTACTGAACTTGTGCCCTGCGAATCTTTCGCAGGTTCACGTGATGCAAGTTCTTGCGTGGAAGGCTTCAAATCTCACCGTGTCCCTCAGGCTGTTCCTTTGCTGGGCCAGCGTCTCTGCTCTGTCCTGTTCCTCGCGGAGGTTCTTGGCCAACTGGAGCAGGGTATCCTTGTTGCGCTGAGTTTCGACCTGCGGTGTATCGGCGCATGCGTTTGACGCCATTAGTCTCGTTTTCGTTTTCTCTTCATTTTATTCACTTTCGTTGATCGACACTTTTCTACCCCTGTCGGGATAACCGTATATATGGGTCAGCATACTGCGTCCTCGCAGCTTCCAGTCTAGCCTCTTCGGCAAGACATATATAGTCAAAGAACATTTTCTCAACGTCCTTATTATTTCGCAACATGCCATAGAGCGTGCAAAAGCTCACATTAATTTGTGTGAGTGCAGTACGCATCGTCCTTAATTAGTGAATGGGATATACATGTGCTTTGAGGGGACAATGGTTCGGGCTTGGTGAAAAAAAAACACATGTCAAGTGCATTAAGAACTGCCATGAATAATGCAGCCGAATTTAACTCTAGTGCGTGGCAAGAAATATTTACAAACAGAGCTAGAAGTTGCCAATTTTTCAAGTGTCCCCTCTTTGATCCCGTCTTGCACTCACTTCGGTGGGCCGGGCGCAAGCTGTATGTCGTCAAACAGCAGAGTATGTCGTAACAGCAAGCCACTATTGCACTGGACAGGATCACTAATGTATATGCCAAGCGAATAAGAAATCCTTGCAATAGCGATACACCATTCAGTTAAGTTCTCACGTTTTTTCAACCTTTAGATACGACCTAAGCGTATATTCCTTGTTAGTGGAGCTAATAGCGCGTCAAAAGTAGTCAAAAGACCCCCCCCCCCCCCAATTCCCCGCCTTTATTTCGTTTACATTGGACTCTTAACAAACGTTATGAGAAGGTGATTTGGTTGGTGTATTTGCTTCACGATTTAAAACACTGCGCTTAGGACCCAGTCTGGCATGCTGTCGTACGGGCTACAGGTGCTTCAATAACCAGTAACATCCGTACCTCATGAGGGTTTTTTTTTAAATAAAGCATTACGTCTTTACGCAAACCAAAAGGCCATTTCGGGAAGGAAAACATTCTTAACCCTCAATTTACAAATTTTGGTTAGGCAAAAGCGTGTGTTGCTTTCTTGAAACCTCCTTAAGGATGCAAAGCGGTTTACGGTGAAGTGCTTACCTTTCGTCGAAGCTTCGCAATCTTTTTATTCAGCTGCTCACGCTCCTGCTCCATCTGAGAGATGTCCTTGCGCAGTTCCTGAGTGTTCAGACCGCTGGCCTTGAGTGCTTCGCCCATCTTGTGCGCCTCCTTGAACTGCTCCATGGCCGCTTCGTACTGCGGGGATCCACTTTTTTTTCTTCTTTTTACTGCTCGTGACTCTATAGTCGAAAAGTGCCCTTACATCAATTCGCGCGAAAATGATAAACCGCAATTTGATTTTCTGACCAGGGGATCGAGTTTTGGGCATTTCAACCGCGTTGCATCTCGATTTTCCGGGATGGAGAGGTACGTATTTTCACCTGTGATGTTTAATGGTTTTCCTCTCTCTCTTTTTTTTTTTTTCAGCGTGGTATACGCAGGAAAACCGCCATTCCTACGTGCCTTTCCTTTCGGAAAGTAAAACTCGGGGGCAGCCGCCACGGCACTTCTTCTCGTAGACAGGCTAAAGATTGCTGCATGTGTTTTAGAGTTTAAGGAAGAAACATCGAAACGCAACACATCGTATTCAAGGAATAAGCGTTCCACTTGTGTACTTCGCGCGACTTGCTGTTTTTCCTGACCAGGTTCGGATGCGATGTGCATTTTTACTGTTATATATTGACACTCACAGGGTTTTTTTTTTTCTGCCGTTGGCCTCACCGTCACCGTCATGCTTCTCATTGAGTCCAAATTGGTAACATCACCTCCCTCATCGTGTGTCCTACCCGAGAGCAAAAGCTCGTGAGCGCTGGCGACTAACGCGGCTGAAGCGGAGATTAGACGAGTCAGACGTCTCCGTCACCGGGATGGCGCATACGATACCATCACCCTCAGTGCCAGGCCTGTTGTTGATTGCTTATGAAGTGGAAAGGAAACACCACCCAGCCCATCTTTCGTAAGGAGCATGAAAGGACGACGGGGTGGCTTAGCTCAAAGGCTGCGTCGCTTGGAGGTCGCGGTTCCCGGCGCGCGCGCTATTTCGACAGGCATCAGAAGAGGGCTACTGAAATTGTTGTTTTGCGAAAGCTTACTTAATTCGTGTTTAGCGAACTGACAGCACAAAAACCGCTTCGTTTTCTGGAGCGGCCAAATTGCGCGTTATCTTGGGTTACGTTATATCGGATTCGAAATAGTGAGCTTACGTAGCTTTATTTACGTCGTATATGACGTCACAATTTGTTGTTATTGCATTCATTGCTACGCCCGTAAGCCAAACCATGATTTTTTGAAAGCTCGTCCCGGCAACTTCTACCCGGACGTAACGCAGCGGCTGCGCATCTTCTGCGCTCCGGGCACGCTGCAGTTTCGATATCGTCCAAATCGGCGCCTTGAATTTCGATTATTGGTTTCTCAAGTTACTTGCTTGTTGTTTTATCTCAGAAAAATTGGTATTCAATAAATCCTCAGGACTAGCAATAAAGTTTCCCTATGAACAACTGCTTTTAAGCTAATGAAATAGTAACATAACGAATTTTTGTTAATTGATAAATTCGTTGCAGCTGCAGGGGCTTCAAAATGTTTCAGTTCCAACTTAGGGTTCATGCGCGAAGACACGTGCCCGACTGTTGTATCACATTTATAAAAACAAATCTTTATTGTTAATAAAAATAAATTCAGCTAGTTTCACCGTGAAACTAGCTGAA